CTGCTTTCCCTTTCTTTCTTTCTTTCCCTGGGAATGAACTCAGGGGCACTTAACAGCTAAGCCACATCCCCAGCCCCTTTTAAAAAATATTTTATTTAAAGACAGGGTCTTTCCAAGTTGCTTAGGGCCTTGCTAAATTGCTGAGGCTGGCTTTGAACTTGTGATCCTTCTGCCTTAGCCTCTGGAGCTGCTGGGATTACAGGCATATGCCACCATGCTTGACAAATTCTTCCTTCCTGTAAATTTTTGTTTAGAACTTTTTCTTACTTTATAATACAGTTAAGTTCATTAGTTTACACTGAAGGTAACACTCAGGATATTATCCAAGTACTATTGAAAAAGGAATTTATATTTCTATTTTTTTGAAATAGTGTCCTGCCGCCCAGGCAGGTCTCTATAATATGAGCTCAAGCGATCCCCCACTTGAGCATCCCAAGTAGCTGGGACTACAGCCAGAATGCCCAGCCTAAATTATTTTTAAAATGAGCATTATAGAGCAAGAACAAACAAACCCCAAAACACTTGTCCAGATTCATTTTTATAACAAATGTGTTAATATGCACTAGAATTCTTTAGCAGAGATCAGCTGCCTGTGGTTTGTGGGCTTTACTTCTTTTCAAGGGGTTGCTGGTTCAGCTGCAAGTGGAAAAACCCATGCCCTTCATTGTTTCTTGCTTTGCTCTTTCTCCATTTCTAATTTTATCTATTTTATAAAATTTTCCATAGACATCGATGTGAAAATTTGTGTTCCAGATCTGATTTTCTGTTTATTTCATAGGTTATGAGTGAAAACTTTGCCTACTTTCACTTTGAATTGCAAGCGCTTCAGATAAATTTTATTGCAGATAGATTTTTCTCTTCTCAAACCTCTTGGTTACTGACTAAAGAACTAGATGTTTGCACATGGGTATTCGTAAGAGCTCAGATTTGTATTATGACATTTCAAATCTCTGAGCTATGTTGTATAAAGCATTCTAGCCTACGCCACTGAAAATATTTTCACAGTAATTATAGTTACTATTACTGCAAAAGCTTAGGATTTGTATATACAAAAGAAATGTTTTATTTATAGATAGAAATCTCGGGGACCAGTGAAGAGAAAAATTATGAAAGGAGATTCTACCAGTTAGTACTTGCTATACGTGTTTGGGGAGACAGAAAAGCATAATCATAGCTCTCTGATGGAAAAGACTTTAAAAATTTTATTACAAAAGAAAAATATAAAAATCACTATATTTAACACAATTAGATAAGTTTTGTCTTGAGTACTGTGTGCCCAGGACCAAAAGATGGAAGTTCACTACTGAGGAGGAAACAAAAGCTGCCAGCTGAGGCCCAAGGGGAAGATGAAGGAGTCTTAGGGTGGAGGTTGCTAAGGACAACCACTTGTCTTAAGGGTCTTATTTCTTATTCAGTTGGGGTTGGTAAAGTCATTTGCAAAGCTTATACTGAACACATTTATTTTGATGTATTAACCTGATTAGAATGAACTAGATTGGGTGTGTGTGTAAAGAAATGGCTGCCATTTCACTCTTTGGAGTAGTTTTGGATTTCATCTGAAGTTTCTGTTCCTTGGGAGGAGCATGCTTGCATTTATATAGAATATTACTCAGGATTGA